GGACATTTGTCTCAAGATATTGGATGCCAACCTCAAACACAGAAAAGACCCAGCTGGTGACACATCTGCTCGTTGTAACCCCGTCTATGTTAGCCGTGTGATCAGTGCCATGGTAGGACCTAAATTCACGTGCATTACAATTTACATTTAACACTTCATTTAAAAACTTACAAGTTAAGTTTTTAATGCTACCTGTTGTAACAATAATAAGAATAATAATATAAACCAAATTTACTCTTGTGCAACCAATGGATGAGCAAGAACGGAGCATTTGTCTGATTTTCAGGTCAATTTCAATGATGATGGAGGTGTACTAGTGGGACGCTGGGATGGAAACTATAATGATGGATGCAGCCCCACCTGCTGGACTAGTAGTGTTAGCATCCTTCAGCGCTGGTTTCAAAACCGCTGCTATCCTGTCAAGTACGGACAGTGCTGGGTGTTCGCTGCTGTAATGTGTACAGGTACTGCGGATACTGTGTTGTTTTTGTGTGGCAGAGTATTGCCATGAACTTTAATCAAAAATGAGAAGTCATTTGACTTGATCATTTTGTTGTCTGTGATTTCAGTGATGCGATTCTTTGGTATTCCATGCCGTGTCGTCACCAACTTTCAATCTGCTCATGACTCAAACAATAGCCTCACTATTGATGAATATTATGATGACTATGGAGTCCGTAGCAAGGAGGCCTCCGAAAGTGTCTGGTAAGACATTCAGACAGTCAGTCAGATGTGCAAGTAAACTGAAACCTTTATTATTGTTTTCTTGCTGTTTGAGTTTTGAGGCCTGACTTGAAAAGGAACACGAACGTCTGTTAAAGTTACATATTGATAATACTAATGATATATTTTCACACAGACAGAGCTATTATATTATGCAATTTAAAAACCTCAGACATATAAACTGGAAAGCTCACCTTTCTTGTGCAGGAACTTCCATGTGTGGGTGGAGGGATGGATGAAACGACCAGACCTCATGAAAGGTGGTATCTATGATGGCTGGCAGGTCTTGGATCCCACTCCACAGGAAAAAAGTGAAGGTAAAAACTATTTAGTTTTTATTTAGAAATGAATGCACTGAGACAGATGCACAAATGAATGATTCCAATGAGAAGTACAAACAATTATTTTGTTGGTTCTTTAAAAAAGTTTTTGTTAAATTTGTAAAAGTCCGACTTTGCTTTTGCTGCTCCAGGTATGTTCTGCTGTGGTCCAGCCCCAGTCAACGCTATCCTACGTGGTGACACAGACATCAAGTATGATGTACCATTTGTCTACGCTGAGGTCAACGCTGACATTGTCAAATGGATGGTCTGTACCAGTGTTATAAAATAACCAGCTGTATACTATACAGTCTGTCTATACAATCTGTATTTCTACCTTTTATCTGAAGAATGAACTCTTTCAGCTCTTTTAAACTCAGTTTTAACCCTAATCCTAACCTTAAAAGATCTGGTACCTACCATTTTTATCAAGTTTTCCCTATTATATGTTATTGTTATTGATACGTCTTCCACAGAGGAAGCAGAATCAGGGGATGATGGAAATGACCTGTTCATCACCGGGAGTAAGGTCACTGAGGCAGTTAAACAACAACTTAGTGGCAGGGTCCCTGGGGTGGATGAGGTTCACCCTGAGTTCCCGAAGGCTCTGGATGTTTTAGGGCTGTTTTGGTCAACACGCCTCAACAATTGAGATCAGGGTACTTCTGGATTAACAGACTGGTGTGGTGGTTCCCATTATCAAGAAGGGGAACAGAGGGTGTGCTACAACTGTAGAAGGATCACACTCCTCAGCCTCTGCTAGAAAGTCTATGCCAAGGTGCTGGAAAGGAGTGTCTGTCCGTTAGTTGAATCTCGGATACAGAAGGAAAAATATGTTTTCCATTCAATTCAATTCAATTCAATTTATACAGCAAGTTTAATGCCCTTCAATGCCCTGTACCAACAAGGCATTGAAGATGAACAGTGGCTGAATTATATTCTTAAACTCAGTTACAGCACTTTCAGAAAGACATCTACTGTGATGAAGTCTACTCCTCACTGCTGTGTAATCAATTATTGTAAATTTAAACAGTGTTCAGGAAACACTGTTAAATGTTCAGTTTCTATGCCATATGTTAAAACAAGATCTAGAGTGTGATTAAAGTGGTGGGTGGGTTCTTTTACATTTTGAGAGAAGCCAATTG